ATATCCAACAAATGATCGATTTGATAATTGATAATTTGTTTGGATTTGGATTATCATCAACATCTAAGACTTATCAAATAATGTGAGTTTGATTTGTTATTTTGTTTTGTTTAATGTTATATTATTGTTAAATTATGAATACTTAAATCATTTCTTTTTTATCTACTATTCTTTATAACCCTTTCACCTTATAATTAATCGCTGTAGGTGGTTTTTTTCATTATTTTAGGCCATTTTGGTCAAGAAACAAAATTACGAAAAAGGAAAAGGTAGGGACAAGTCTTTCAAATAAAATACAGCCTTACTTGAACTTAGTCTTGATTTAGTCATTTGATGGATCTTAAACGAAGAATAAGTCTAAGAGTATTCTAAGCAAGGTTCAAAGTATCGATACATATCAGCTCGTATTAGTCGATACGTATTATTCTGGGACCCCTCCAATATGCCCCTACAGTGGGTATATTGGAGGTCTGATCGATTCAGGGGGTAGAGGAAACCTAAACCGGCCCCCCTGAACCGGTTGTGAAAAAAAAAAAAAAAAAAAACACAATGAAAATGTGTATCGACTCGCCCAATACGCCCCTACCGGCGTATCGGACGTATCGATAATTTAAACCTTAATTTCAAGTGCAGGCCCAAAAAGCGAGGTAACTACTAATTCAATTTTTATTTGCTCTGGTTCATGCAATTACCCATTGGAAGAGAGCCCGTGCCAACAGCTTAATGGCAGAGTGGGGATTCCTTCTGGCCGGCTCAACTTGTCTGTCCCACTCTCAGCCTCTTGGTTCAAAATATGATTGCTTCTGCTGCCACTTGCAAAACAAAACTAAGGCAGGGTTTGGTTGCATTGCAATTTTATTTATATTAATATAAATGCATGGGAATGCAAATGACAAAAAAAAAACAAATTTTGATTTAATTTTTTTTTTTTGGGTTTTACTTTATTCTGTTTCAGATCTTATTTTACTTTAGTAAAGATCCGTTTGGTTTGCAGGAATAAGGATCTGGAGTTGGAACCGGAATGAATTATTCTGATTCTTAGTGAGTGGAATCTGAATCCCATTTCTATTTTTTGTGGAATGCCATTCCCCCATTTGAGAGAGTGATCATTCCTTTTCCTCCCTTGGGAATGAAATCTAATTCCAGCTGACTCCAATTACCATTCCCATTCCTGTATGAATCAAACAGATTATGAAAATAGATTATTCTAACTTCAAAAAATTTTGATTCCAATTCTGATTCCAACTATACACCAAACAAACTGTTATAATACAATTAAACAAAATAAAATAAACTTTTAAATAAGAATAAATCAGAATTTGCACTCAAATCATTTATACTACTATAGTTTCCCATCACTGCAACCAAACGCAGCCTCATGAAAACATTACTAGGGCCCATGTGCAAATCCTTCTTAAACCCAAATCTGCTTGGGCCCAAAATAAGGCGATACATTTGGTTACATATGATTCACCCATTAATGAAAACATTACTAGGACACTACAGTGGGCCCAATACACCATCGGATCTGCTATTAACATTTGCTTAGTGCTTACTAACACAACCAACCGATGTGTGCCACGCGTTCTGAATGGTGTGTGCATGAAACTTGTATAAGCAAGCCTGTACTAGTGATATTTCAAAGAGCATTTTTGGAGATTTCTGGAACCTAACTTCTTCGACATCCATAACAGCTGTTTATTCCCAGTAGAGCTCAAGAAACTGAAGTGGCTTAAAGCATTCGTACTAAGGCTCCATTTGAAAGGAGTATAAATACAAATATGTACAGTATAGATAGATAGAAAATAATACAAAATACAATGTTTTATACTTTAAGTTGTATTTGATTGCAATGCAAATTTATTTGCACTTGCATAAAGGCATGGGAGTGTAAATGAAAAAAATGCAAATTTTCATTTAAATTTGTTTTAGGTTTTATTTTATTCTGTTTCATGTTTTGATTTACTTCATTTATACTGTAATAAAATAAAATAAGCTAAAATTTAAAACAAAAATAAATCAGAATTTATACTCGAATCATTTGCACAGCCATAATTTTGCAGTAGTGCAAATTTATTTGCATTGCAACCAAATACAGCCTTATCTATTTGTATTTGTATTCTTTTCAAACTGTCTTTGTGAGATTCCTTGGACTGTGTTTGGTTGCAATGCAAATAAATTTGTACTAATGCAAAACTATGATAATGCAAATGATTTTGGATGTGAATTCCAAAACAAAATTAAACTAAAATTTGTATTATTTTCATTTGTATTAGTGCAAATGAAATCGCACTCCAACCAAACACAGCCTTATGGCTACTCCCAAAATAAGACTTCAAGCTCCAACTCCGGCGGAGTTCTCTGCCCTTGTCAGTCTGAAATTGTAGGACTTCCCAAGAATGAATTCATTTGGTGCGTTCTCAATGACTTGGAATTAACAACTTCAAGTCTTCAAATTTGAGCTCTCAGAAAATCCCGTTACTTAAAACCTAAAAAAGCTTGACGTGGTTATGAATGTGTCATCAATCAATTAAGCATATAAAGATGCCAAGTGGCAAGTGATGGAAGTCCCAGTATCATACATATGTCTTGTATCCCCAATTCAATTTGTGCAAAAGTGCAAAATAGCCTTTTAACAAATAATATCTGCATTTATTATAGGTTCTACTCGAAATTGAATAGAATCAATCTTAAACCAGTCTTGAACCCGATTTAATCCAATCTGTTGTCTCCATTTATGCAAATTTCAAGATTTAGGGGTTTACCTTACTAAAACCGACATTGGTTGGCCTTAGTGGATCTGGCCTTAGAATCGAACTTGTCTTAAAATAAATCCAATACTTTGAGGGTGTAAAGATTTGAACCCAAACTCTCATGGTTACAAAAACAATAGCCTCACTTAACCGTTGAATTACTTCAGTGATTTGATTTTTTTCAATTTAAAATTTAAATGATTATAAAAATTAATGCAAAAGATAATATTTAGAAGATTTAAATTATAACCATAAGTTTGAATTATATATTAATATATTATGAAAATTTTCAAATTAAATTATTCAACTTAATCAATAACAAAGTAATATGAGTTTTAAAAAATAGTATCTATTTCTTTATAAAAAATATCCAATTCCAAAAATAGAAAAAATCTAAATACTCTGTATAGCCCCTTTTGAATTTATCAAGAAAAAAAAAACAGAATCTACCCATGCTCAGCCCCTACCTCGGCCCTTGTGGGTTGTGGCAATTTTGAGTGTGGCGGGGCTCCACCGTCCTTGACCTTCTCTTGAGCAGACAATTTGATCAGATCTCCCATATTCAACCAACCAAAGCTCTACGACCATCAACCCAACCTAGACATGTTAAAAAAGGCCCACAAATAGACAAGTCCGTCTGATCATCACCAGTCACCACTGACCATCCATGAAATGGGTTCCACTCACTTGGATACATAGTCCGGGTCAGATAGGCACTCACTATGAGCACAAGCACTTAGAAGTTCTTTTTAACACCTACCCCTTAAAATACCCCCAGTCGAAGGTAAGGGTGATTTTGGATTGGACGTCGTTCAGTCCAAAATCAATTTGGATGGATTAGACGGACCAACGAGATATATTGGATTGGACCCATCCAGTCCAAAATACTTGTTAGATTGGATTAGACCTGGTCCATCCGTAATAAATTTATATTGAATTAGATTGGATTAAGCCAATATCTGATCCATTGATATAAGATAAAAATATGTGTCAATGGACCAAGTTTGGGTCAAAACCAACTTAAATTAAAATGAATTTAAATAAATTGTGGGGTCCAGGCATTGAATTGAACCAGTCCAAATTGGTTCAAAACATTCATTGGATTGGATTGGACCTGGTCCATTTATAATGGACTCACATTGGACTGGATCGGATTGGACCAAATCCAGTCCAATTGACACCCCTAGTCCAAGGTTTAAATTTTGGATACAGGCCAATGCGCCAGCAATAGGTGCTAAAATGAACTATACTCAGAGGGGTCAGTCTAAGACTGGTCTACCCTTGAACCAGGTCACATCCTGATATGAACCTTGTAGAGTGTATTGTTGGTACGATACCTTGCGCTTGATACGGGACATATAGGATTTGCTTGATACGGAGCATATCATATCAAAATTTTGAACCTTGCCCCAGTCTACCCTTGAAAAAAATTAAAATAAAAAAATGAGTTGTTACAATACCATGTCTACTAGGTCTACACTGTTCAATACAAAGCATCCGATTAGGATTTCCTTTTAAGCATAAACAGCTAAGAAGATAAGATGGTTTTTGGTTACGTGGCCGTTTATTTGAGAAATGGCATTAGCTCATCACCAAATAGGTGTTTATTGCAAAATGTTATTTGCCATAGGGCTGTCAATTGGACTGAATCTGGTCCAATCCTATCCAGTTCAATGTGAATCCATTACAAAGGAATCAGGTCCAATCCAATCCAATGAATATATTGGACCATTTTGGAGCAGTCCAATTCAATGTCTAGATCATCTAATTTGTTTAAATTTAGATTGCTTCCAATCCAGGTTCTGGTCCATTGACACCTATATTCTATCTTCTATTAAGGCTATGTTTGGTTTGAAGGAAAAGGTAAAAAAAGAAAGGGAAAGACGGAAAAACCTATACAATATTTGTAAAGGTTTCCTTACTTTTCCCTTCCTTTTCCCTGCATTTTCCTTCAAACCAAGCATAACCTTGGACCAAATCGACTCAATCCAACCCAATCCAATATAAATGGGTCCAATTCAATCCAATAAATATATTGGACCATTTAGGTCTTGAACTGGTCGAATTCAATAAATACTTTGGGTTGAACGGGTCCAACCCAAAATCGGTCCGTTAACATCCCTATTAAATAAATATTTTCTCGGTCCATTAACATCCCATTCTCTGCCAATTAAACAGCGTTTCAAAAAAAAAAAAATATATATATATATATATAGAAAACATTTTCATTTTCATTTACATTTACAGTGAGAGAAATGCTGCAACACTTTCTCAACGCAGCAACAGCTTGTTAGTAGTGTAAGAAAAAAAGAGGGAAAAAACAGCAAAGCAAACTTCTTGATTTTGCCTTTTCCTTTTTAGGTTGAAATTCCGAATAATTAAAAGTGAAAAAAAATTAGTTTTCCATCACGACAGCCATTAGAGCTTCATGGGTTGGTAAAGCAGAGTAGAGGAGGAGAAGGAGACCGTTTATGTGTACTACTACTACCACCACTATTTGCAGAATCCGAATTTGACCAAGACGAAGACATAATTTAATCCGAAGTTGTAGCAGGGTCGGACCTATTTGGATTACTTCTCACCTTCTTCACTCCCTTCTCTGCTCTCTGAGCTCCCTTCTCCGCTCTCTGAGGCCGGACTTTCACCGCATCCAAGTCCACCGGTAGAACACAACTGCACAGAAGCGCTACAATTCGGCTCCCCCCCCCCAAAAAAAAAAAAGAAAGAATTAGAACTGAGAAAAATAAAAGATAAAAGGAAAATTTTATTAAAAAGAGAAAGTTGATAATTGATATTAAGATGCAAATATTTTGTTTTTTCTCTTACCGAGTCTGGCGAGTCTATTGACCCAGTGAGGGATCGATTTTCCGGCGAGTCCGAGGCAAGCGTCGTTGCAGAAATGGTTGCAATTCTTCGTGATGAGATTGTAGGTGTTGCCTGCGTATTCCTCCGACAGCTTCTCCATGAAGGTTCGGACTTCTCGGGGACCTAAATCTGTTCTTCCTATCAAGATCGATTTCCTGAACATGAACCCCGGGCATCGCTTCGGTTCGACTTCGAAGATCCCTGTTGTTGTGTATTCGTGCGCACCGAAAGCATATTCTACGCCATGTACTGCAAGAGGCAAACACAGAAGAGATGCTTTAATGAATAGAAAAACAAAATTTAATCCGACTCTCATAATTTAATCTATGAATATATTTGTATTTTAATCCGACTCTGATAAGGCTTTGATAGATATGGTTTTGTAATTGAACGGGCAAACCAAAGATTAGAATCCGGGAAAAAACAAATCTTCTGAGAAATCGAAATTTGACGGACTGAGATTCAAAACTGAAATGGATGAATCAAAGCGTATTTAGAAAGATAAAAGGGAATTGAATGTTGACGGAATTGCTGACCTTGAACGCCGGAATGATAGATGCCGAGGCCGAACCAATAGGCATAGCCATTCATAGGGGTGATATCGTAGACATTAAGATACACAGGGTGAGATCCCGTTTTTTTCTTCCGCTTGATGACTCCGCAGATCATCTTTCCTTATTCCCAGAGTTTCAAGAAGAAAATTAACTGTGCAGTAAATTAGATATCAAAGAGAGAAATCCATCTGATAGATAGTCTGCTTCTGCGAGCGATATCCCAAACCAAATCGAATAAGAAAGGAGGAAAGATGTTGGAATTTCCACAATGTCCCCGCAGATAAAACAGACCAATCCAAGAAGAAGAAGAAATTCTGGTGTGATTGATTTCGTGTCTCTTCTTTGGATTTTTCCTTTTCTTCTTCTAATTCTGAGGAGTCGGAACTGGTATAGAATCTGTTGCGCTAAGTTCCATCATCGGCGGCCGAAAGCGCCGCCCCTTTCTTCCATTCCCCGGCCTAACATCTTTATACCAAAAATTCTGCGGAATTTGAGGTATCAAATTTCTATGACCCGTATCTCTATGCCCATCGGTTTTGTTGAAATTACGATAATGGCGTCCTTCCCCGCGGTAATTTCGGCTCCTCGATCTCGCTGGGCGTGGGCGGCAACCCCTTGTACGTTTTGGAGAAAAATTTCCCAGTCAGGGTCGTCGATCGTCCAGGTGACATGGAAGATTTATGGAGTATGAACCCAGTTTGCCGAGACCGGATCTGCTCCTCACACATGACATCTCATACTGATCTCACAAATACATTCCACCAGGAACATCTTTTGTATTTATGTGTTATTAGACATTAAAAACATCTCCCATGTGAGTCCGGATTTACTCCTTACAGCACACCTTACACCGACCTCGCAGAAGATACATCACACCATATATCGGGAACATCTCCTATATTTTATAAATTATTATTTATGGAAAATGTTCCCAATGCACGTAGGATGTGTCTGTGAGGTTCGTGTTAAGAACAGATCTAGTCTCTAACACAAAAGTACTCTATAGGGAGAAGTCCCGTACACAATACATGGTCAGATGTGCCTGAAATTGGTATGGAGCGCTATGTAAGGAGCAGATCCGGATTCATATTTATCGGTGAATATGGTGTATCATATAAATAGATACGAATGAGAGGATAGAGAGGATTTGAAGAGTGAAGTTGATATGAACCACAAAATATACATGTGGATTTTATTTCTTTGTTAAATTGCTGAAAGGTCATGACAAGTTTCTGACTGTTGCTGAAAATTTTTTTCAAGTTTGGTAATTGCAATCACCTTTCTGTAGATCCTCTCTCTGTTAGATTCCTTTAACAAGAGTTTGGAAATGTTCAAAATATCCATATAATTATGATTGAGGTTTGTTTTTACGGAAAAAAAATAATACAAACTTTATTAGCAACAAAAAAATAAATAAGAGATTAAAGTTGCATTTTTACGAGAAAATGATATAAAGGACAAATTTAGAAAATAAATAAATTTTATAAAAGAGATTAGAAGGGTTTAGGATAGCACTTGATAGGAGAAAAATTTTGAAAAATAAACAATTTGGTCAAAAGTAACCGCATGAGTATTTTGAACATTTGGTAGAGGATTATGACAAAGGGGTTTACTTGCAATTGTATTAGAAAGTTTAAGGGAGCTGATTGTAATTACCAAAATTAAGGGAAGATTTTATCAATGTTCAAAAACTTCATGGGAGATTTTAGCAATTTACCTTTTTTATTCCAACCGTACATTAGAAATGAGTAAATTACTTAAATGTATTTTCAAGCCATGTTTGTTTTGACAAAAAAAATAAGAGAAATAGAAAGTTGAGGGAAAGTTATTTGAGATGTAAATGGGTCGGGTTTGATTCAAGAAAGGGTCTGTCATGAACTTATTATTTAATTGGGTTCTATAAGGTGGACCTAAAACTGAACCAGTTAGGATAATCAGGTCTAACTTCAATTATATTAGGGGTGCAAATGAATCAGGTCATCCTATCCTATTTTCCGGATTCGAACATTCCCTATCGGATTTTCAAATTTGACTAAATCAAATAATAGGATCTGATTAAAAATGGATCAAATTCGGGTCACCCCTATCCAATTCAAAATAATCATATAATATATGTTTATATTGCATTTTTATAATTTTTATATTATTTATTTTTTTATAAAAAGACATATATATATGATGAACATAGTTGAAAAGCACATGTATTTTTTATATAAACTATTATGTTTTTCCTTTTAATAATTTATTAAATTTTTCAGAAATTAAATTGGATGAGATCAGATTATCAGATTTGGGATAAGAGAAAATGGGGTAGTGGTTGAGGCAAGGCAGGGGAGGTGTTTGATTATCATTGATTAATACTTGAGGTGGTTTCTTGATGGGAAGAACCACCTAGAGTGTATAGTGGATAGGGTCTCTCCCTCTTAATGTTTTAAATGTTTTAAAGTAGAGAAGCCTTATTCATTTTTCTACTACTATCATAGTTGTCTTTGCAAGAGAGAAAAACTATTGAGAGGAAGGTTAGACTCTAGCTATTTAGTAAAGTATTACAAAAAGAAAAATAATAATCAGAAATAGAGAAAGAGAAGGATCAAATAGGTCTTGGGTGAGATTTCAAGATAGAAAGTTAAAAACTTAAAACAAGGGAAGAAGGATCAAGCAAGGTTGTTGGTCGATCCATTCAGAGCATATTTGGGAAAAGAATAAAGCTACAATCGGTCCATGCATGGCAATGCCTGTTGCAGGTATTGATTATAAATAAGTCTTTTTTTGGTTGTTTTGTAAATGAATTAACATTTGATTAACCCAACAGTAGTATCAGAGCAAAGTTATAACAGGCCGTTGCTTGGAGCATGATTGAATTGATCAAAAAGGTCAATGCTGGTTAATGGGCTTTGGTTATGTCTATTCCAAAGAATGGGCCTAGGGGTGTCAATTGGACTGGATTTGGTCCAATCCGATCCAGTACAATGTAAGTCCATTATAAATGGATCAGGTCTAATCCAATCCATTGAATGCTTTGGACTAATTTGGATAGGTTCAATTCAATGTCTGGACCGTCCAATCTGTTCAAATTCATTTTTATTTAGATTGGTTTCAACCCAAATCCAGTCCATTGACACATATATTCTTATATTATATAAATGAATCAGATATTGGCTTAATCCAACCTAATCCAATAGAAATTTGTTACGGACGGACTAGGTCTAATCCAATCTAATAAATATTTTGAACCGGATTGGTCCAATCCAATATGTCTTGTTGGTCTGTCTAATCCGTCCAAATTGATTTTGGACTGGACGGAGTCCAATCCAAAACCAGTCCATTGACACCCTTAGAATGGCCTGATTTGGAGTTGTATTTTCAAGTGATTATTTCCCTATATTATTCTTCGTTTGATGTAATTAATTTGTTTTTCTATTTATTATTTGTAGATATTGAAAATTTAAAGTCATCTTTAATGTAACATGCCATGTTCAGGATGGACAAAGCTCACCATTAACCTACAAGTTTATTTTTGCAATTTTTATATTTATTTAGGATCTGAAATGATACACTCAAACATAGCATTTCAGGTTTAGGGCATGCTCATTTGCACTAATTCTAATGGCTAAATGCCTTTGAAACCCTAATAATTACTTTTATGGCAAATTTTTTAAACTACTCTTATGGTTTAGAATTGACTAATTCTATCCATACTGTTTACATATTATCTTAATGTATCCCCTACTGTTTCTGACAATTGTCTTTAACCTCTCTTATCATTAACTTTCCATCACACTCCATGATTAATAGTTTTTTTAAATTCCTAAAATACCCTTCATGTGGTGAATTCATCTTCATTAACCTAGAGACTGAGAACTGAACGGAGTTACAACGTTATACCTCTCTTACTTCTCGATGTTCACAACTCTTTCCCCTTAACCTATCCTAAATTTCTCCCCGTTCGTTCGGTTATTGACTTGGAAAACTGTAATTCTTCCGGCCCAATATAATTAATATAATTAATGTGGTGATTACAGCTGAAATGCCCCGGCTTGGCCATACGTCCAATTCCGTCCTAAAAACCTGGTGAAGATGATCAATGGAGAAGGGAGAGAAACCTAAATATCTTTAAATCTTTGGAAAATGAAGCAAGAAGGTCCTTAAAACTGTCCCTTGTGACTCAACATTCGCAACCTTAAACCTTGCTTCTCTCCCCCCAGTCATGCCGACGGCGACTGTCAATCTTGACCAATACTCATCTCCCTTACTAAACATTGTCCCAAGGAGAACGGAAAAGCCCAAACACGAAAAATGTAATCTGCAAGTGCTGACTCTATGAAAAATTATAATCAGTATGTTAAGCTCTTGAGCCACATCAATGGTGAATGACATGATCCCATCTTCCTATGATGCATGTCACAGGCGGCTGAACGTTAGCTCCTTAGAGCTTTACCTTCTCCAGTTCTCCCCTCCCTTTTCTCCCTTCCTGTTCCCATGGCCAACTGGATGGAAATCCCAGAAGAACTCTCTTAGCCACTGTTTGCCAACCCTGGAGATGTGCAGCAATAGGGATGATGCACCCAGTTCTCCCCTCCCTTTTCTCCCTTCCTGTTCCCATGGCCAACTGGATGGAAATCCCAGAAGAACTCTCTTACCCACTGTTTGCCAACCCTGGAGAAGTGCAGCAATAGGGATGATGCACCCTCTTTACCCTCCACCATCACAGCCACCACCTTTGCTTATGTTCCCTGGAAAAGCCAAGGGAATTAACATTTCTTGAAACCTCCGTTTATTGTAACTGGAATAGACAATGAAAGATGTATTTCCCTTCTGCTTGCCGGCATCGAAATAGACAATGAAAGTCGCATATTCTTTTGCCTTTCAGATGGAAAGCTTTACAAGCTGAAACTTCCAAAAGATTTACGGAGGTGAGAGAGTTAGCAGCGAGAGGACAGTTTTAATTAGTTGGTCGTGAGCTATTTGGATATTTTTGATCTCTTGGCACAAGAAATTTCTCCCCTAGGCTTCCTAGTATATCCTGCTCTAATACAAAGTCATGCACGGATTTACATGTCGTTCTGCTCCAACTAAAATTGAGGCATGGACGACTATATCTAACTGAAACGACATTGATTAATAGCTCAAAAAGAGCAAGGGTTTGGGTGGGTTTGGCTATAAACATTAGGAATTGTGGGATGTAGCATCGATGACTATGTTTAACTGAAACGGTATTGAAGAGCTCAAAAACTACAGGGGTTTGGGCGGGTTTGGCTCTAAGAAATGTTGGGAGGCCTGGAGCCTTGGCAAGCATCGTGTAGGTTCGCAGTGATTCTCGTCGACTTCAGTACCGATAAGTGTGGGGCTGATGAACTTGGTGGGTTGGTTTGGTTGCTGGTTCAAGGCCATGCCGTGCTGCCATGACACTGGAGGACTCGCGGGGATGATGATGTGAGGGATCTTCGCAATCCATAAAGGGAGCTGGTACCAGATGAGTTCTAGGCAATCTAGAATGATGGACAAACTCGATTCTTCTGCTTGCGTCATTCGTGATATCTCTGTTCTTTGCGTCCTCATCGTCGTTAACTGTACAGTAAATACATTCACCGAAAAAAAAAGTTGGGCACTACCACGAAAAAGGAAGATGGAGGGAAGAGGGGAGGACAAATTTTCATGGTCGAGTTGGTGAATTTTTATTGGTTTTGAAATCGGAATGAAGAGAATGTTATTCTAAAATTTGAATCTTAAAAAATGGAAATGACC